TTGATGGACATTTAGGGTACTCTATTGTGATACATATCACATTCTCTTTATCCATCTGTTGATGGACATTTAGGTTGTTTGCACACCCTAGCTACCGCGAACAGTGCTGCAGTGGACATGGGAGTGCTGATATCTGAGAAGACGGTCTTTAGCAGAAGGATTCTGTGAATGTAGACTCTCTGGTGGGTTCCCAGGAAGGCTTGGTCCTGGAGAGTTGAGCAGGAAGGAGCCCACGTGAGACAGACTGGTGAGAAAGAGAATGAGTGAAGATGTCAGCGGCACGCTGGCAGCGGGAACCCGCACGGCGCCTTCACTCATGGCTGCCAAACCCATGCCTTCCCGCAGGGAGGACTATGTAGGAACAGGAGACAAGGTTTAGTAGGTTAGAGAACATCTATAATCCCACTAAAGGGAAAGCCATAACACCGTTCTCAGAATGGCAGAAACATTCTTACACAAATACACAGTGAGAGCATGAATGAGACAAGCATCGGGATGACAAAGCTGGTTCAAAGAATAATGCAAGAAAACGGTGTGTGTGTGTGGAGGGGGGTGATGTACTCCATGGAAAAAAAAAAAAGCTAGAATAACAAAGCTAAACTAGCTACAGATCTGGCTATCGCCCTAAAGGACAAGAGATCATAACGTTTAGTGTCATTAGTATCATCTCTTCCAAATGTTTCCATCTCACACTCATCTCTACCAAACAGAAGAACATTCCCGTCTGATCCATAGTTAAGTAAGATGCCAAAGAAAATTTCTTTCCCTTGAAATGGCATTTCTCAGCCAGGGTTCAGAAAGGGGACTGGGCCCTAGTGCCTGAAGGGAACCAAAATTTGGCCACCCCGAAGCTGCTTTTTGGGATATTGATTTTAATCCGTTTATTAAGAAACAAAGACTCGGAAAGAAACTGTGACCTTCCCCTCTTACATGCCCAAGAGATTCAGATGGAAAACCTCCTTTAGGGAGGGAGCCTGGGCTTAATCACCTTAAGAGTCTTTATCCTAGCATTAGTCAGGGAGACCCCAAGCCTGTTAGCTGGACACCCCGGGCCCCATTGTTTCTAAGTGGCCAGCAAGACTTTTCCTGCCATGTATGTTCTGCTCTTCCTCAACTACCTATAAATCACCCGTTCTAACTTCTGAAATCTAACACCTTGTCCCCTCCCTTTTTCTTTTGTCCAAAAATGTCTTATATACTCAATGTTGCCTGACTTTCTTTGGAATATTCATGCTTATGTGACTGTATTAAACATTTGAAATTCTTCTGTTAATCTGTCTCTGTTAGTTTGATTATTAGCCCAGCTAGAAGAACTTAGAAAGTGAGAGGAAAAGTATTATTTTATTTATTTATTTATTTGTTTGTTTGTTTATTTATTTATTTATCTTGATTTTTTTTAGCCTCCACATGTCCAAGGCATTCTTTGTAATCAGTCAATTTCTCTGTGCAACTAATTATTTTATTTATTTATTTATTTATTTATTTATTTATTTATTTATTTATCTTGATTTTTTTAGCCTCCACATGTCCAAGTCATTCTTTGTAATCAGTCAATTTCTCTGTGCAACTAGAGTGGGACTGCTTGAGTTCTTCTGCCTGTATGGGAACTGAGAAAATTATCATTTGAATCATTCTCTACGTTCTAAGAATCAGCTGATCCTAATTCTTCTGCCTTTTTTCCAAGTTTTGTATAATTTTTCTTTAGAGGGTAAACTAATCTATAGATATATAGATTGTGTGAAAGCATTCACTGACAGCAACTTGTATGTTTAGTATCTGAGGACTCACCTGAAAGAAAAACCTAATAATAATAATAACAATAACAACAACAACAACAACAAATTCTGTTTTGAGTACGGAGAGCTTTAATAAGAACTTGAACCTCATGTAACCCACAGGAGGGAGAAGCCATGTACATAAGCAACATGAAGGAAGAAGTCCCTGTCGTCTCATCTGTCCTCACCCACCAGAAGGGTAGGTTCTCATGGCAGAGAAACCCTAGACCTTCCCCAGTGGGGGAAGGACTGAATTCACAGCCTCAGGCTGATTGACAATCTGATTGACCAGGGAGAAATTCTCTACACACCTCAGTTAAGTCAACCACTGGCAGAAAAGTGCTAGTGCCTCAGGCGGAGAGAGCCTCAGCTTCAGCACCAGCTTCTTCAGGCAGGGGAGTCTGCACAGAACAGACTCCCTCTCCTCTAAATGTCTGTTGTGCAGGGATAGTTTTGGTCAGAGAGCTAAGATGGGTAATGGCAGTAGACCCACAGGCTGGGAAAACCTCCCCAATGGGCCTTGTCCACTCCGAGACTTCCGTCCACAGAGCATCAGACTCCTGCACCTGGGCACAGGATGCTCACTCTGCTGCCTGCTTCGGGCTAGCCCTCAGTGTATGCTAGTAATTTATTGGGGTTAATACAAGATTTCAGGATCAAATAGACTTGCTCCATATCCTGGCTCTGTCACTAACTAGCTCTGTCAGTTAATTTCTGTCTCTCTTTTTTTTTTTTTTCCATTCATTTAAGATGGGACTCATGTTAGCACCCACTTCATAGGTGTTGTAAGAATTAACGAGAGGATAAGTGAGGCTGTTTTCCACCACCTTCTTTTTGTTTAGCTGACCTATTTCCCAGAACTCACAGGTTCAATGCGCCTTCGGGGCCCTCATCTTGGGCCCCGGAGATGGAGACGTGGTATTATTGTGTGTGCAGCTGATCCAACCATGTGTCAAATGAACTCAAAAAGAGTCTCGAAGCTTTGTCTGGAAATAAACGATAAAGATTTATTCAAGGGTCGTAGAGTTTGCAAACTGGAAATGCAACTAGGTGATACCCAGAGCGTTCCAAAGAAGAAAGAAAAGTTGAGTTCTTAGAGTAAAAAGTGCTTGAGAATGATCAGTCCTGCACTCTTAGCCCTAGGATTGGTCCAGGATGGCTATTAGTCAGATGTCAGGCAGTCTGGATGATGGGTGACAGGTGGATGTCCGGTGGTGTGGATGAGTGAGTTCTTCAGGAGGTAATCAGAGGGTTGTCTGGAGGTTTGATCAAATGCAGGCGTCGACTCAGAACTGAGAAGTTCAAACCTTTAAATTCCTAGGCTGGTTAAAACACAAATAAAGTTGTTTCCTCATACCTCAGCCTACTTGATTTTAGTAATTTAGCAGCTTGACTATAGTGCCTCCATTTTATTTCTTCACTCTATTCCTCAAATGGCACTGAGGCGAAGGAATTTCCACCACCTTCTTTTTGTTTAGCTGACCTATTTCCCAGAACTCACAAGTTCAATGCGCCTTTACGGGTCTTTTCCAAGGACCCCCCAAAGAGACACACAAATATTCTCTCGTTTCTGCCCTTGGTCAGTCCCTTAGAGTAGCAGTTCCGGAGCTGGCAGCCAATAACCTCCTTTAATGTCCCAAAGCCCAGCAGCAAGACAATCATCAAACATTAGATCTGGATTAGGTCATTGGAGGCCACCTTGTTTTTAAAGGAGGGATGATTGCCAGATTTAGCAAATAAGATACAGAATGCCCAGTTAAATATATATTTCAGAGAAATAACAAAAAAAATTTTGTTCCCGTATAAGTATGTCCCAATAGTGCATGGAACATACTTCAGAAAACTGTGTTTGTTTATCTGAAACTCAAATTTAACTGGGCTTCCTGTATTTTATCTGGCAGCTCTTACCAGAGTCACACAGCCTGGTCTATTGGTTCCCAGGCCACCGCTACTGCTCTCCACCAACACAGACACCCCAGCTTTCCGCTTTTTTTCCTTTCTTTTTTTCTTTCCTTCTTTCTTTCTTTTTTTTTTTTTTTTACTTAAAGCTAATGCTTGCTGTGCTGGGTGCCTCAGACTCCTTGTCTGAGGAGGAAGAACAAAGGAAGAATCATTGATTCCAGATCACCCAGAGGAGAAACGGCCCACCCGCAGAGCCCAGGGGAGAGCAGAGGCGGGGCTGGAACGTCTGGAGATGCAGGTCCGGTCCGGACCTGTCTCCAGTGAGGGTGGTCATGGGCCAGACCATCAGTGGTCCAAGGCTCTGTTTCTTAACTATCAAACCGGCACAGTGGGGTCTGTTTCGAAAGGGTGACTTGGAAGATCAGCCGAGATGAGCAAAAGCTGGTTGCTTGTAAACCATGGAGCACAGTTTGTGTCTGTGTGGTTTTTTATCATGACCCAAGAAGGCGGGGGAAGATTCGTTGTGTAAAGCTGAGAGCTGAACCCAAGCTTCCGCACCCTCCGGCTCCCAGGGGGCTTTGGGCTAAGTCCCTGGCTCGGCCCCCACAAAGCTCGATCTAGGGGTCCAGTCCCATCTGGTTTACGGGAACTCACGCCAGCGATCAATCATCCTTAATTTGTAACTGGGTAGTGTCCTGGGCCAACCAATAGAGAAGACCTACCCCCCCAACACATACACCCCACCCTCCCTGACCCCGTGGGACTGTCCACTCAGTCTACACTGAAACTGCCCAGCGACCAGGAGTTGGAAGCAGGTTTGCTTCTTGGGAGGGGAGAGGGGGTCCGGGGCGGGGGAGGGTCTCCACATCTCTCTTTTT